GAAAGCTACAGACCAATGTCTCTCATGAATATAAATGGAAAAACCCTCAAAACATACTAGCAGATTGAATCCAGTGATATATGAAAAAGGACAGTACACCGATCAACAGTGTATGTTGATTCAACAGTGTTGATTCAGTATTGAAATATCAATTAAAGAATCAATGTAATTCACCACATTAACTGAGCAAAGTAGGAAAATCATATGATCAAATCAATAAATGCAGAGATAGCCATTGAAAAATTTGATACTCGTGATTAAAACTCTGTGTAAACTTATGAATAGACGAGAATCTCCTCAATTTGGCAAAGGGCATATATGAAAAGTCTACAGCTAAGTGGTGATTTATTGAATGTTTTACCTTAAGATCTGAAAATGGCAAGGATGTCTTCTCCCACCACTTCTGTAGGTAGTTCTACCATAACACACATATGTGTTCCTAAAAATCAGAGTGCTATTAAAAGTTGCACAATAAAAACCATAGGGCTTATGGGGAAAATAGGGCTAGGGGCACAACACCGAAAAACTTCATCAGTGACAAAAAAGTTAGGAACCTAATAAAAACCATAGCAGAGTTTTACACATATTAAATGACAAAATCTGCTTCTGAAAGGTCACAGCCTTGAAAACCCTGTGGAGCACAGTTCTACTCTACAACGCATGGGGTCTCCATGAGTCTGAATCAACTTGATGACAACTAATAACAGCAACAACACAGTCAGTATGGCACTTTATGTTTAGAAAAGACTGGAAGCTTGCTTGTGGAAATGGGTGTCAGAAGAGTTTCAGCTTGTGAGTTATTGTGAAGTGATGAAAGGGCAGTTACATGAAATCAGACAGAAAATTGTAACACCAGATGTGTATGGGTGTGGTTCATAACGTGTATTGAGATAGCTAGTCAGTGTGGGAGGTGTGTGCGTGTGTGTTTTGTGTATTCTTATGTGGCTCACTTTAGTTGGGTGCTATTTTCTGTGTTTACCTAGTGTTTCTTTTTGACAAAATTGTGCATAAGTTAACAAATTCTTGTATTTGTTCAAATTGTTCCCTAATTAATCAATCACATTGGAACAAAACAAGAGTTTTCAAAACCAGTTTTAGAGCATAGCTGACTATATTTAACATTGTTTTGGAGGTCCTAGCCAGAACAGTAAAGCAAGAAAAAGAAATAAAAGGCTTAAAGATTGGAAAGGAAGAAGTAAAAATGTCGTTATTTGCTGATGACTGCATGATTATGTAGAAAGTCCTAAGGCAGCTATACAAATACTACTAGAACTATTGAGTCATGAGGTTAAAGGTCGATATAAAAAGTTAATTGTATTTCTATATAATAGCAACAAATGATTAGAAAATAACATTTCTAAAGCAGTTCCCTTTATTTCCAGTTGGCAACTCCATGTGTATCAGAGTAGGGTTTTTCAATGGCTGACTTTTCTGAAGTAGATTGCCAGCCCTTTCTTCCTAATTTCCTTTAGTAACATCAGACCTCAAAATACTTTTACAACTTAATGATAAAACAAATAACCCAATGAGAAGTTAAAAATAGGCAAAAGTCTTCGCAGAAGAACACGTCTGAATGGCCAATAAGCCCATTAAAAAGATACTTGATATTTTTAATCATCAGGGAAATATACAGTAACACTACAATGAGATATTGCTTCACAGTCACTGGAATGACTAAGATTAAAAGGACAGTATGAAGTTTAAGGACACAAAACAGTCAGACCTCTCATATGTTGCTGGTGGGAATATAAAATTATACTGTTACTTTGTAAAACAGTTTAACAGTTTTTAAAGAAGTTAAATGTATACTTACTCTGTAACCCTGCATTGCTATTTCCAGTTATATACCCAAGAAAAATGAAGACATATGTCCAAAAAAAGACTTGTACATTAATGTTAATAGAAGGCTGATTTATAATAGCCAAAATCTAGAAACGAATTGTGGTATATGCTTTCAGTGGAATACTATTCAGCGATAAAAAGGAACTAACTACTAATAAATGCATTATATGGATGAATCTCAAAAGCATTATGCTAAGTAAAAGATGCTAGATTACAAAATACTACATACACCGTGTGATTCTATTTACATGAGATTCTGTTGCAGGCAAAACTCATCTATATGATACAAAGCAGGTCAGTGATTGTCTGGGGTGGGAATGCAGATACTTACTGCAAAGGAGCACCAAGGAACTTTGTGGGGATGATGGTAATGTTCTGTTTCTTATTTGGGCTGACAGTTACACAGTGTCAGAACTCATCTAATTGTATACTTAACATCTCTGCATTTTATTGTATGTAAATCATATCTCAATAAAGTTGACTTATTAAAGGTAAGTTTATTGAGAGAGGGCATAGAGAGATGGGAAGAACATTCTTGCCTTCTGCAGCTTTCAGACTAGTGTGACATAATAATCTGTCAATAAGCATTGTAATACTGTCAAATAAATGCTATTATAGAGTCAAGTATTAGGAATAAAGGAGTAGAGGAAAGTTTCCTGGAGGAAGTGATAGAGAAGCTGAACCTGAAGATTGGGAGGATTGTTTTCAAATATACAAATAGTTGAGTGATTTGCAAGGAGAAAGAGTGTTCCAGGCAGAGGAAACAATTTGTGCAAAGGCACAGAAGTGAGAGGGTGTGGCTGCAAGAACTGGAAGAGTGTTTGAGTAGATGACAGGTATTCGGGATAGTTGGAAAAGAGAATGTGTATGGGTGTGTGTGTTGTGGTAGTGAGAGATTATACTGGAGAAGTTTAGCAAAGACCTACATAATTCAGTCTCGAAGATCTTAGAAAGAACTTCATTATAATTATTTTTGAAAGAGATTGATTTTATCCTAAAAGTAGAACTGAACAGAGTAGTGAGAAGATCACATTTTATGTTTTAGGAAGATCATTCTGGCTCCAAATGTGAAAAATTAATTAAAGGAGGCAAAACTGCAGGCATGGGACCCAGTTACAAAGTTTTTTAGAAATTGTCAGGTAGTTGTTAGTTTGTACTAGGAAAGTGACACTGGAGATGATGAAAAGTGAAGAGATTCCAGATCAATTTGGATCCAAGCTCGGCTTGGATCAGGTATGCACCTCTGCTCCATGCTGCTGTGCCTAACGGGTAATTATGCAGTGGCTCATCAGTTACTCAGTGAAACTGTGAGATTAGACTCTGTGAGAACAGAACAAGGCATGAACAGGGCAGAGAGCAGGCAGATTATTAAGGCTAACCCCTGTGGTTAATTCCTGATTATTTACATTTAAAAAATCTTCTTTAGGGAATAGTCATATATGATCTGATGCCTTTTCTCTTGAAGGGAGGGCATCTACTGTAAGTTTCCCGGTCATTCAGGAGTTTTGTTTTTGTTTTTTTTTGGTTTTTACTCCAATTTTCTGTATCAAAGCTCCATGACATTAAATGTTGTCTGTTAATACTGTAACATGAGTAGGCTGTTTTCTGCCATTATTATTTAACTCAGTTTTTGTTAAAGGACTTAAAGAATAACCTTTTTTTGCTAAAATTATGTTTGAGTATAAATATAATGTTTGATCTTAAATATTTAACCTTACAGAGGAAGTATTATTGCTTAGTGGTTAAGAGCTAGGGCTGTTGAGTTAGACTAGGCTTCAGTCTTCACTCCACTGTTTACCATATGACCACTCTCTCTACTCTCTGAGCCTTAAATTTTGTTTACCTGTACAATAGGGATAATAATAGTGTTTATCTCAAGGGCCTTTGTGAGGATTAAAGTAGATAATCCATATAAAAAGTCTTAACACAATGTCTGTCACATATTAAGTATTCAGAAACTTTTAGCTATTATCATTGTCTTTCCTTTTTTCAGTGAACAGTGAAATTACTCATCTCATTTATGTAACTGCTTATTTGTCAATGATTATTGCCTTATCTGCCTGAAAGGTGCAGTGAAAATATTAGGATATAAGTTTAGCTATTTGACCTTGTTGTTGTTGTTACCTGTCTTTGAGTCAGCCTTTGGCTCGTGGCAACCCCATGTGCACACACAATGGAATGAAATGCTGCCAGGTTTTGTGCCCAACCTCATGATTGGTTGCAGATCGGACTGTTGTGATCCGTAGTGTTTTCATTGACTGATACTGGAAATAGACCCAGGCCTTTCTTCCCTAGTCTGTCTTAGTCCAAAAGCTCCCCTGAAACCTGTTTGGCATAACCGGAACATGCAAGCTTCCACTGACAGATGGGTGGTGGCTGTGCATGAGGTCCATTGGCCAGCAGTTGGATCAGGGTCTTCCTCATGGAGGGCACTGAACCACCAGTGCCTCTATTTGACCTTAAAAACTACTTTTTAACAGCTTTATCAAGGTTTAACTGACTTATAATAAATTAAACATATTTCTCGTATATAATTTGATAAGTTTATACCACAGTTTGTTTATTCATTCACTTGTTGACATTTAAGCCATTTCCCAGTTTTTTGTTTTTGTTTTTTGTTTTTTTTTTTGGGTATTACAAATAAAGCTACTGTTGTGAACATTCTGTACAAGTCTTCGTATGGACTTTTGCTTTCATTTTTCTTAAGTAAATACCTAGTTGTGGAATAGCTAGGTCCAATGGTAGTTGTGTGTTTAACTTTTTTATGAAACTACCAAACTGTTTTCCAAAGTCTTTGTACCATTTTACACTCCCACCAGCAGTGTGTGAGTGTTCCATTCCACATCCATACTGACACTTGATATGTTCAGTCAAAAAGCTATTTTTAAAGATTATTACCCTTTAATGTGTTTTTTCTTATTATAAACACATATGATATTACATAAAGATTATTTGAATGAAGTACAAAATGTGCCAGATAACTAAAGATTTTTAAGTTGCCTTTAAAGTGTTTGGAGTTGTGCTGAAATCTCTTTATTGGCAAGGTAAGAGATGATTTGTTAAAAATAGTGGCAAATTGAAGGGATAGAGTTTTCCTTTGAGAAGCTAATTTGGTAATGTGTTTACCTGTTTTATATGTGTGTTTTTTCTTTTGATAGAGTTTTCCAGAAAAGGACCTTCTGCACTGTCCATCTAAAGATGCAGTTGAAGCTCATTTTATGTCTTGTATGAAAGAAGCTGATGCTTTAAAGCATAAAAGTCAAGTAATCAATGAAATGCAGAAAAAAGATCACAAGCAGCTCTGGATGGGATTACAAAATGGTAAATATAGTAATGTTTAATTTTGAAATCCCACTTTATCAACTGTAACTATAACCTTGTGAGTAATTGGTACGTCTTAGGATTGGTGGTAAAGTCCCTGGGTCTCTAGGTATGCTTGACTGCTAACCTAAAGGCTGGTGGTTTGAACCCACCCATCGGTACCATGAAGGAAAAGGCCTGTTAAGATTACAGCCAAGAAAACCTTATGGAGAAGTTCTATCGTGTAACACTTGGAATTGCCGTGAGTCAGAATCGACTCAGTGGCAACTAACAACAAGATTGGTGGTACAAATTTAAATTTCAGCCTCCAAGTCCAAAATTTTGCAAAGAAGCTACCATTAGTTACCTTCTACTTGTACCCTTCTAACATCCGTCTGTTCATAGATACTGTAGCATGAGACTGATCGCTTTGTCAATAACATGTCAGTATAAACTCTGTTTAACTTCTGAGGAAAGTGCCTTGACTCCTAAGAAGGGGTCTTTACTCCTCAGTCATGGCCTTCTAGGATTGAAACTGAAAACCCTGGGTGTGTACCAAGGTATTTTTGCTTTGGCAAAGCTCGAACTCCATCACGGTAAACACTGTGCTTACTTTCTCAGCACAGTAAGACTGTTGATTTGTGTTTCTGTTTTGTCTCCCCTTGTTGGCATTTAGAAAATATACTCAAGGGAAAAATGAGGGGAATCTGGAGCTCCACTCTGTAGACCCCCTCTTTTGGAGACCATAACTCCTTAATCTTGCCTGCATCGATGACTTGCAATGCCTTGAAACAGTGGTATTATGTACAAGCGGTCCTCACTTTCCATGGTCTGATATACTTGAATTTTAGTTACCATGGTTTAGTTTAGTAACACCAGTTCCCTAACAGCACGGTTCAGATTTCAGTTACCATAGTATATTAACCGTGGATAATTGCGTAAAGTACAAACTTCATTACTAGCCCTTCAGTCCACAGATCATTACTTAAATAACAGTTGTGCATCATGATCAGTGACCAGTCACATCACTCTTTGAAAGTCATCAGTGATTTGTCACTGCATATCTGTTATTCAGTTCACCACAAACAGGAAAATGTGTAGTTGTGTTACTTCCTTGTCTCCCAGCGGTAAACCTCCATGACCTACAAGTGGATAATTGAAAGAGGGAATAAGACCACCAAAGATGGAATTGCAGCAAACAAACAAAAAGTGATAATGCTGGAAGTGAAATATGAATAGAATGTAATGTAATAATAGAAGAAATAGGTGACTGAGGGATTGTTGGCACTGCCATCATTTTAGAGACTTTAGATATGCAGTCAGAGGAACTCAGTGAAGGTGAACTTACCAACATAAGTAAGGAAAGTGGTTGTGATGGAAAGGATGAAGATGTGCCAGAGGAAGTGATGCTGGCAAAAAACTTCACGATAAAGGAATTCTCAGAATATTTTGAAAGTGCAAAGGATAAAATGTTGAAAATTGACCCATCCTTAGAAAGGAGTATGACAGTTTACCAAGGTATAGAAAAGATGCTTGCTCATAAGTTATTTGTTGAGAAATCAAGCAGTGTTCAAACTACACTTGCCTAAGTTTTTTAGAAAGAAAATTTAATTCTTAATGTTTCTAATGTTTTAAATTACAGTGTATTAAATAAATACTAGTTTTATCTTTTAAATTGTCCTGTACATTAAAAGCCAACAGTAAGAGAGTTTTTCATGTTTGAGCAAAATTTTTTAAAGGTTGTGGAACAATCATAATATTTGCAATTACTTATTAAGATCACTTTGCACAGTTTCACTTTACGTAGTCATTTTTACAGTCCTGCACTACCATACATAGCAAACACTGCCTATATTATGTCCATCTTGGATAGTTGTTTTTGGTCAGGGAGGTAAGTTAGTCCAGTATAAGTTACTTTTTCATGACAGTAACTAGAATAAATACAAGAAAACTAACCTGAAAGCATAATTTTAAAAATGTGATCTCTTTGTATCCTTTGGATTATGTTATTATCATGTCAAAGAGGTATCCGTGGTTACTTAGTATTTATTAAACTTCCATTGTGCAAAATAGAGGGTATGATCTATGACCTCAGTAGCACAAAGACATATTTTCTAACAGTGTGTATTGTAAATTAAATTCTCTAATTTCCTTTTTCTTTAAGTTTTCTAGATTTGACCTGGGTTGTGTAGAGTTGCTCTTTATTTCATATTTATACATCTAATACTCCTCAACTAGATTTTTTAAGCTTTGCAAAGACAGACACCAGCCTTTTCACCTCATTTATGTAGCTGAGTACACAAATTCTCATAAAGAATTCATAATCCCTTAAGGTGTACTTTTTCCTTTTTCTTGCTGGCCATTTGAAGATGAAGTGATATTTTAGGAGGCTTCTGAATAAGAAGATAGCCTAAATGGAAGAAGACATAGATCATATAGAGAGAGAAGGAATCTGAGGATAATTTATCTTCAGAATTTAATTGAAGTAGACAATTTAAACATACAGATAAGTAGATGTTCTTGAAATCTCTTGTGAATGTAGTGAGTCTACTATGGAGAGCTTACGTATTCAGCAGAGGATTTTAAAAATGATTGAAATAGTTCAGTTGGGACATTGAAGAAAGATCTAGTTTTTAGTCCGAGCTCTACCAGTAGTTCCTTAGAGCAAGTCTGTTAACCCTTTGAGCTTCATTTTTTTAGTCTATAAAACAAGAGAATATCTGCTGTGTTGCCATACAGGCAGAGGCTTTAATGAAACACTAGTACAGTTTATAGAAAAGTGTTTGAAAGGAAGTAAAGCTGTCTTGTTGAAAGGAATTATTTAGAAGTCAATATGAGACTCCAGATTAGGGGTTGGCAAACTGTGGCGACCACCAGCCACCTGTTTTTGTAAATATCATCTCACCCAGTCATGCCCATTCATTTGTATATTGTCTATGGCTGGTTTTGTGCTACAACAGCAAGGTTAAATAGTTGTGACAAAGACCGTAAGCCTAAAATATTATACCATCTGGCCCTTTAAGAGAAAGTTTGCCAACCCCTAGATAGCTGACCAAACCATAGCTTATATTTTCCATTGACCTAAAGCATGCCTCAGAATGTCACACATTCAGAACTAGTGTAACTTAATATATCAGACATAGCCTAATAACTACCTTCAATCTTATTTCTTAGGCATAAAATTCTTTTTTTCCTATTTTTGCTGTAGCTAATGTTCTTTCTTAGATTTGTGATTGTTGGTATTTGGTTAAAATATACTTCATTTTTATTTTGGCTATAATTTTTTTTTAACTAAGTTTTGGTTTGTTTGTAATGGTCATGGTTGAGCTGCCACTACTCAAAATCTTAGGAGAGGTATACTGTGGATATAGGAGACCTTGGTGCTTTATTTTCTGTTTTTTTTTGAAAAAATATTCATTTAGGAAATCTTCAGCTGGGTGAATTCTTGTTTATAGACAATATAGTTTGGTGGTAAAATGCTGAATGTTTAAATTAAGGTAACTTGGTGAAAGATGGGTGTGGTTATTCTGCTCCTTCTGCCTGGAATGCCCTTTCTCTCGTTTTTTTGTATGTTTAACTCCTAGTCGTGCTTTAATGCTCATTTCTGTTGTCACCTTTTATGTATAGTCTTCTTTCTTATTTGTTTAGTCAACAAATATTTATTGACATGTGCCTGACACTGTGCTCGGTGCTAGGGATCATTCATCACTGATGGACACATTTGACCCCTGTCTTCATGGAGCTTACAGCCTTGCCAAGGCAGAACTGTTTGTGTTCTCCTACTGTCATGGCTCCTTGTCCGTATATATGCACCTTTACTCACATTTTATCACACTGTGTTTTGTGTTCTAGGTAGTGGAGATACAGCAGTGAACAAAACAAATTCTTGCCTTTGTGCAGCTTAAATTCTAGTGAGAGAGACAAACAGTTCTTTTCTAATATGGCAAGGAAATAATATTAACAGCTTTTCATAAATAAGATTAATGTTAGTATAAAAGAGAAGATGTGCCTTGTTTGAATTTACTTATGGAAATGGGTTTTAGGCTTAAGAATTTTTTCCTCCACAGGAAGACCCTATTTATGAAGTCAAAATGTTTTACTTTTTGGCTAGCATAATTGTAAATTTGTTAAAATAGAGATAAATCAGATGGTAACTGTATTTCATTCAAAACTGCACCTGTACAACATAACAGCTAATGATTTAAACAATTTCAAATAATTTCAAAGGCTGATTCTAATTTCCCAGAACTCTGTGAGAGAAATAAGAAAAGCTTATGAAACCAAGAAGACTCATTTAAGACATTCTGTGCCTTTCAGTGTTTTTTGGTTTTAAATGAGTTTTCTTTTAAGATATAAAAATATTTAACCTCCTTGTGAAACAAAGTTGATGACCACAAAAAAGCAAAGAAAGTAGCATTTTTTTAATTTATGAAACAGTTATCACTACATATGCAGGCTGCTTTTTCTATTAAATGTTGAGCTATTTTTCTTATAAGTTAGAAATTTTAGGGAAAAAAAATCCCAAATATTTTTAACATATGACTTAATTTTCAGTCTGGTTTTTGAAAGTGTGTGTTAAATTCTAAAAAGAGATGGCATTAAAAATTTTGATAAACCTTCAAATAAAGGCAAGATTTGAGTGCTAAATAAGTTGAAAATTTACTTTGTTTCTAAAGTATGCTTAATCTTTTTGAGCTAGTTAATTGTTTTTTTTTAGAGAATCAGTTATTTGACAGTGTGCCATGTTAACTTAAAACTGGTTTCTATGAGGAAGCAGTGATAGCCAAAGGCGGTTTTATAACAAGTCATAACATTTTGAAAATACTTTGTTTGGTAGGTGATATAAAAGATAAATAAATGCAAGGGTTCTAGCTCTGTGGAGGCTTGTATGATAAAGACAGATAGGTTGTAATCACATTGCTTTGTTTTTATTAGTTGCACATAGTTGAATAGGGTCACTATGAGTCAAAATTGATTCAATGGCAGTGGGTCTGGGGTTTTTTGTGTTTTTTTTTTTTTTT